CTGGGTTCAATGAGAAATCTGACCCTCATGTTGTCGCTTCCATTTCTTTACTCAAAAGGAATGGTCTAGATTTTGCGAGACTTGGGCAATTTGGGATTTCTGTTGCGGAGTTTGTGTTCGGGTTTCTGCGTGTCCTTAGAATCCACAGAGGGTTGCATGATTTGACATGGGTTTGCTTTCATGGCCTTTATGACCTGGCCTATTTGCTCAAGCTCTTAACCCAAAAGCCTCTGCCCGATTCAGTGGTGATGTTTGCTAAGGCTCTTGGTGTAGTTTTTGGCATCATTTATGACGTCAAGTTTATGGCTCGCTATTGCAAAGGATTCTTTGGCGGTGAAATTGGATTGGCAAGGGTGGCCAAGCTTCTTGATGTGGAGCGCTCTGGTGAAGCTCATCAAGCTGGTTCAGATAGTTTGTTGACTGCTGCTGTGTTCTCCAAGATGAACGCAACATTTAGGTCTGTGGCAGGGATGTCTCAAGGCTGCTTGTATGGAATTAGCCCAACAATCGTGCGATATTGGCAGCCCGCTCCTGTGATCCTCCGTCGCCCTTGCTTTCCTGTTGCAGCACCTCATGTCTATGGTGCTCGTCTCATTCATAGTCCTATCCTTCCCACTTATGTACACATGTAGTTAGTTTTGTAAATTCTGATTTTTTGGAGTTGGTGAACAGTCAAGTGACTAGCTGGCTGATCCGTATTCATTTTGTATGTACCACATTTTTTACACCAAAAGATTATAATACAATTCTTTAATTTGTGCCAAAATTTCCTACTTTATTTCTTTTTGTTGCCAAAGTTTGTGTGGATTTTGCATAGGGTTCTGATCTGTCGTATGTTCTGTTTCACATAATACTCTTTTAATAACATGTGTATCTTTATTCTCATAAGAGTATGTTGAAATGGAAGCAATAAATGACACATATTATGCATTTGGCTGCATATGAAGAATATATTATATTTTTCCAGTGCAGGGAAGGCGTCAAACTATTTGATACTCAGTGATCTTTGTTATCATCTAGAAGGAGAGCTTGAAGGCAGTGAAGTCAGTGCTGGACCATTCAAAGAACTCTCTCAGCTCCGTATAGAATCAAATGTTTTTAAGATTTACCAACATAAAGTTGATGCTGAACTTATTATAACCGGAAAAGATGCATACTTGTTTGATCTTAAACGTGTTGAATAACATGAAGGCTGCAAACTCAATGGCGTTGCTTACAAGTTCAAAGCTTTCTGCACTAAGAGCATTAAGAAGTGTCTTGATTGCATACACGGATGATGTGAGTTGTCTCTTAGACTTTGTAATTGCTTTCAGTTGCGTTCTCAGAGTCAGAAATTTGATATCTATAGCTGTTTTTTATGGTTTAAAATACTTTAAAGCTAATGTTAGTTTAAAAAGATTGTTGATGTCTAATATTTCGAATATCTGATTTCTCATTTCAAAATTTTTGAAAGTTAAGCACTATTAGTGATTCAGTTGATGAACACTGTGCTGCACCTTGCCATGTCTAATTGGGGTGCTGAAGAATGAAGCAAAAACACTAGGACCTAGAGCAAGAGGTGCAACTCTCATGATATATCAAGTTTCCTATCGTCAAAACTGGGGTATGAATGGTATAAGCATTTAATTTTACCTGAAGAATACTGATTTTATTTTGAAATACTCCTGTAATAATTTTCTAATGAGTGTGACGAAGTCATTGCATTCCATCTAATCAAGAATATGATACAAAAAACTGAGTTGTTGAGGTTTTAACATATAGTGAAGGCCCCAATATTGCGTTGGAAGAAATCACATGATCTAAGCAGAGTTGCTTCTCTATCTTATGATGTATGCACATAAAAGCCTGTCTTTGTCTGTTTGCATTCTTGTACTAAAAACATCAGGTTCTGGCAGCTCTTGCTTATGTTGCTTCTCTCGGCAGTGGAGTTTAGTTGTCATAAGTCACATTTGGTTGGGGCAAGAGATATGATATCTGTTGAGACCTGGCTAAAATATCTAATGTGAGTCTTGGTCTACTACCTATTCTCTGTAACTGTATTGCTACTGCTGAGCATGGCACCCTCTCCGTAAATACAATGGACTTGATCCTGAGAAATTCTTAAGTCCCAACACTTGGTTCCTCATTATACAAAATCACCTCCAGCTTCGGCATGTTATTCTGAAGCTTCAAGATAAGAACTCTCTTGAATCTGTGCCCATTATAATGAAGTTCTTTTTTACTGTTGCCCGTGTGAGGCATGGTGCGGAAATGCTTATTAATTATGGATTTCTCTCGTCTCTGACACTCTTGTTTGCTACTTGGACGGTAGGTCTTCTTACGTTTGTATTAATAAGAGAAATCCCAACTCAACTGAAAAAAATTGAGAAGCCTCAGCAAATTTGGGGACTTGGTTTGGCAGTCATCACAGATATGGTTCAGTCTTTACGAGACAGTTCTGCTTGTTCTGATGTTGTGGAGAACGTCATACCTCACTTCTTTTCAGAGAAAGACTATATGATTTCTTACTATCTGAGTGCTCCAGTCTTCCCATCTGATGGTCATGACAAGAAAAGACCTCAGGCTCAGCAGAGAAACTTCTCTTACTGATCTTTAAAGAAACTGAGCACACTCTCATTCTGAGGTGCGTGCCAGCAAAACATTGGAATTCATGGGTTAAGGCCATGAAAGAAATGGACTCCCAGCTGAGAGAGAAAAGTATCCATCTTTTGGCCTTTATCAGACGGGGAACTCAACACCTTGGAGAATCTTCGAGTCTTAATGCTCCTCTTGTATGTCCTCCTATCCTTAAAGAGGAATTCAATGGCTGCAAGAAACCATCATTTGTCGACAGTAGAAGCGGATGGTTTGCTCTTTCACCATTCAGTTGTGTGTCAAAACCAAAATTCTCTGCCTTTTCTACCACAACTGCGCTGGCTATTAAAACTCAATCAACTGAAAATAATGTATCTCAGTAATACTTATCCGACACTATTGTCCTTCAGATCAACAGAATTACTTTTATTCTCCTGAAGTTCCTCTGTTTACAAGCTGAGGGTGCTGCTAGAAGGGCAGAGGAGGTGGGGTTTGTTGATCTTGACCATTTTCCTGAGCTTCCAATGCCTGAAATCTTACATGGCTTACAGGGAACATGACAATTTTTATTCTTTAATTAGTTGTTTTTTTTGGCTAATCTTGAAAGATCTTGAGATGTCCCAAGGTGTGGCTTTGATTTGTTTCATTATGCAAAAAGTTTCTGGTCTTCAAAATACTTACAATTAAGTGTCGAGGTGACTTTCTTTTTTGAGGTTGATATGTTATCTCTGATTTAGGATCAAGCAATTACCATTGCTACAGAGCTGTGTGGGGATTAAAGATCAAATGTGATTCAAATAGAAGTGCAGAGTATCTGTTGTTTATTGCTACAAATAATGGAGATGGCCTTGCACTTGGAACTTTGTGTTCTACAAATATGCGGCGAAAGACCTGTGTTAGGGCGTTAGGAGGATTTTTCAAAGAGCTTTTAACAACAGGTAAACGCCATTCTTTCTCCTAGATATATTTTGTAGTGATGGAGAGACATGCTTTCCTCAGGTCATCTGTGAAGTCCTTGAAACAAATAACGTTGGTTATCTATCCCAGATTGTTACAGGCCGAAGAGTTTTTGTGAGATAAATTCTTGTGCATATAGGTGAAATCTTAAAACTGTAGGCTTTGGAAGAAAAATGTAAAAACTAGTGTGTATTGCTTAAATCAATGGCTTTAGAAATATTCCACAGGCGTATAAAATTGTGCCATTTCTTTTAGCCATTCCTTTTGTATATATTTCGTTCGAGAAAGGTTGTGGTTCAATGATGGAGAAGATTTCTTAAATCCGTGGCCATTCATGATTGTCGCATGAGAATTTTCAGCCAACATTTGTTCTTTAAATTCACTGTTTCTTATTTTCCTTCTCCTCAGCGTTATTGGCAGCCCGTGCCTGTGATCCTCCGTCGCCCTTGCTTTCCTGTTGCAGCACCTCGTGTCTACAGTGCTCGTCTCATTCATAGTCCTATTCTTCCCACTTATGTACACATGTAGTTAGTTTTGTAAATTCTGATTTTTTGGAGTTGGTGAACAGTCAAGTGACTAACTGGCTGATCGGTATTCATTTTCTATGTACAACATTTTTTACACCAACAGATTATAATACAATTCTTTAATTTCTGTCAAAATTTCCTACTTTATTTCTTTTTATTGCCAAAGTAAATGGGTTGTATCTTACCTAGTTTCTGACTCAGATACAAGAAACTTGCATCTTAAGCTCTTGTTTTGAATATGAAGAATGTGACCTTGGAATTGCAAGTCTCTTTAACGTTCTGTCTTTAGGTCTTTAGTTGTAGAGAATTTCCCTTGATCCCCCTTCCCCTCTCTGCAAAATGTAACACCAATCATTTTGTATAAACAAACTATTTTTTACAACTATTTTTTCGCCATTCTTTCCACATTTTCTGAACACCCATAGTATTTTAATCCCATGATAATCTGTTTCTTGCCATGATCTGTTGCTAGATGTTTTATCTTTCTTTCCATTGCCATGCTTTATGATTTTCCAGATATAATTCTTTTGTTCCTCTTGTGCTAGGCTACATTAGAGCATCTATTAGCGATGGTATTTCATATATCGTCTTCTGTTGTTCTGTGGTAACTTTCGTTGACGACACTCAGGATAGTAGCCAATTCCAAGCCATGTCCAAAGTGTAAGCGACCTATTGAAAAAACCCAGGGGTCCATGACGTGCACACCACCTTGAAAATTTGAATTTTGCTGGTATGCTTTCTGCTTGCTTTTTTTTCCTTTCATGGAAATTGATAGTTTTTTGAAAACATATCTGATTAATGAATAATAGCATTGTATCATTCACATTGAGAATAGAAATATTGTTTGAGGAAACTTTTCTATTGCTTATGCTCTTTTATTGTTAAGTTATATCTGGTTCTAAATGAATTATATGTATCTTGCAGGCTATGCCTTGGTGCATGGTCAGATCATGGTGAGAGGACAGGTGGTTTCTATGCTTGTAACCGTTATGAAGCAGCCAATAAAAAGGGAGTTGTAAGGATTTTGCAGTTTCTTTTTGCTCATTCTGAGAATTTGTTCTTCTTCTTTGCCTTTTGGAAGCATAGTTTTCTTTTTCTTCTATTTATAAGAGTTTGTAATGGGTTTGTTGTATGATGAAACTGAGTGAAGAAGAGAAATGGCCAAGCATTCTATGGAGAGATACACTCATTATTATGAATGTTGGGCAAGAAATCAGTTGGTATTCACAATTCTCTTTTCAAATTTTCCTCTTTTTGTTCTGCTATGCTTTGAATTCATTCATTTCTTTTCTTAATGTTATAGTACCCTGGCTATGTATCTTTTTTTGGGTCAACTACATAAAAGTGTGGAAGCCTCCTGAATTTGTAGTATTTGTCTGTGCATTGTTCTTCTGTTTTATGGATTTAATTGTCTAAGCCTTAATGTTGCTCTCGATGGACCTATACAAATGACCTATTCTCGTTTAATTATTCACTAAAATATTTTTGGTCTTCCTTGGCAGTCGAGGCAAAAAGTTCTTGCGGATTGGCATCAAATGTGAACTGTTAATGTAAGTATCTGTACTTGCAGAAAAAAATTTCTACGTGCGCACATACATACAGACATGGGTTCATGTGTTAGCTATCTTATTCTTCAATGGAGTAGATGGTAACAAATGTGTTCAAAACATAAATAATCTTAGTACTCATCTTTCTACTGTATTGTGGAACTAGAACCATATTTAAAACTTTTTGCAGATTTGGAATGTTATGGTGTATGGAACGTTCTACTTATTTTATTCATAGATCCAATGCTACAAATTAAGTTTAGTTTAAGGTTAACAACACAAACATGAGGTTTTCTGTGTTTTCACTTTGGACCTTTAGATTTCAGAATTTAGAGATGTAGTTGTGTTTTACGGAAACCCTTCATGTGAACTGATAGCCTGAATTTAGAGGTGTTACTTCCCTAGCTATCATGGAATTGTATGAAGTACTCTGTATTAACTTTATTGATATCCTGGCTATTTTTTCCTCAGATGGAGAAGCTTAGAGACATACAGCGAGGACCTGAGTCTCAGCTCAAGTTCATAGCTGATACCTGGCAGGTGTTGAACTACCATCATTTTTGTTAGATATATAAAGATATATTTTCTTTTAAATATATGAAAGGAATTATAGTGCACAGTGTAGCTATAAGATCAGATTAGATTTGCTTTGCCATGGAATGCTGACAAATTTTGTTTTGCCATGAAATGCTGACAAATTTTGTTTTGCCTCTGTCTTCCATTTTCGTGGATTGTTGAGAGTGTAGGAGAGTGCTGAAATGGACTTATGCTTATGGGTACTACCTACCTGAGAATGAGCATGCAAAGAGGCAATTTTTTGAGTGCTTGCAAGGTATAATCTGTGTGTGTATATTAGCAGCAACTAGTTAGGCATTGTCTTTTGTGTTTTCTGAAATATATAATTCTGCTCTTCTCTTAAGGTGAGGCAGCGTCTGGTTTGGAAAGGCTTCATCAGCGTGCATTGTTAAAACCGCAGGAGGTTCCTGAGTGTGTGAGATCTGTATTTGATGATATTTGCATAACTAGCATAGGTCAAAACCTTGCAGCTAATAAATTGGAAATGGGTGAGTTGTAGAATCAAAATGTCATTTAAAAAAAAAAAAAGGGTGGTAAATGCCCTCAATCTTTTGATTCTTTCTTGAGAATAGGCTTTTTATTTCTCTCTTTCAATTACTAATTACTATAAAAGTCATTGGTATAATACGTTTTACTTCACTGCAATGAGCAAGTCAATATTGATGCATACTTAATTCAACATCAATTTTGATTTTAGCAAAAGCTATTTGTATAAGTGAGCACAAACAACACATGAAGTACATAAACTTTGACAAAATTGTATGCAACAACACATACAATGCATATATAATTAGCTATCAAGCTAAGCTATGCGAAGACCAAAGGGAAGAGAAGGGTGATAAAAAGAAGAAAAAGAAGTCCCAGATGGAGCATATCATTTAGAGTGCATTTGCCATAAAATAAACTTAAACATTAAAACATTTCTCAAATGCAATACTCCCAAAATAAAAACAAGCTAAATTCTAAATTCTAAGTTCTTCGTTTCTAATCCATGAGTAAGACTAAAATTTCAAAGCAAGTAGCCACATAATGGGCATCTTCACTGTTTTTTTCATGAAGCTCTAGAAGGAGTTACATTTCTCATTCTAAAGCCCAATGGGGGTAAGAGTAAGACTCGTTCCTGGAGCAACAACCTTCTTTATCTTTTCAAAAGACTTCTCTTGGACAACCCATATATGTTAATATGCTCCTCTTGCCCGTCCTTATTAAGTAGCAACAAGCAATTGATTCCGTGTACTCCTCAACAGCTTCAATTCCACCGGCAATACACTTCGGTGGCGGCAATGCTTGAAATATCTTGTTGCCAGCGTCAAACGACACACGATAATCCCTTTGGTTTTCCATAGTCCAATATGCTAATCCATTACAAATTCCACATCCACAATCCCACTTCATGCTCTTTATAGAAGGAGGAATGACATCAACAATCTTCCAAGATCTTGTGCTACAAACCTCCACTTCAGAGACATGCTTATCCTTACCGAATGACACCAGCCTTGCCACCTTGTAGTTATCAACCCCCGGGTGGAACCCAAATGCAAGAGTAATGCCATGTCTGGATAAGGGCAGGCACGAAATGTTGGTCATTGGAAGGGTCACACATTTCCTAAGTGATGGGTTGTATATGCATATAGGGCTGTTCAAATGCAATTTTACATATGACAGACAAAGCAAGCAATTGCTTGAAACTTATTCCCACAAGGTTTTAGTCTCCGATGGTGAATAATATAGTAAAGCGGACCTCAAATGTTTCGTTGGAGAGAAGAGTGTGGCCAATGTTTCTTGTGCCTCTAATGCAGTGGAGGGCAACTAGATAAGTATGAACATGAGTTTTAATTAAGATTCCTATTAAGATGTTCGCCAATGAAACTAAGAGCAATTGATGAGATTTCTCCTGCCTAAGAAAGATGCAAAACTGGCTCCCATGGTTTCTCCATGCGGAGAAGTAAAAACTTGGAACTTGGAAGAAGGCATAAATATCAGTAAGAAGAAGCCTAGGTATTCGCAATCGAGCAAAAATTGCTGCTTATGCTGTTAGAACACAGAAAGGTTGGGCAGTAAGAATTTTTTCTCAAAACTCTCGAGGCGACAATAATCCTTCTCTAAATAGGGGGCGGTTCTTAACTTTTCAATGTTTTTTTCTGAACAAAGTGAAGAAAGATAGAGGGGTATGACAAGCATACCAAGAAAGAAAAAGGAAAAACAAAGCACGTAAGGAGCATATGATTAAGAGTGCACATCTGTAATAAAATTAAAACATTTCTCAAATCAAACTCCAAAAAAAAAAAAAAAATTTCTCCATGCGGAGAAGTAAAAACTTGGAACTTGGAAGAAGGCATAAATATCAGTAAGAAGAAGCCTAGGTATTCGCAATCGAGCAAAAATTGCTGCTTATGCTGTTAGAACACAAAAAGGTTGGGCAGTAAGAATTTTTTCTCAAAACTCTCGAGGCGACAATAATCCTTCTCTAAATAGGGGGCGCTTCTTAACTTTTCAATGTATTTTTCTTAACAAAGTGAAGAAAGATAGAGGGGTATGACAAGCATACCAAGAAAGAAAAAGTAAAAAAAAAGCACGTAAGGAGCATATGAGTGCACATCTGTAATAAAATTAAAACATTTCTCAAATCAAACTCCAAAAAAAAAAAAAAAAACTGATAGTAGATTTTCCATATTACTTTCCACAGCATAAAGGACATAAGAGAGACAGGATATTCTTCCGAGTTTGGGTGCTCCAACCCTTGAGTAAGAGTAAACTTTCAACATAAGTATCCACAGCATCAGAGTCAAGAAAACAATGCTTGGGCAACCTAACTCTGGTTTCATTGATCTGCTTGGTTTGAAGATTGTAAATAGCCAGATAAATTTCACCTTTCTTTCCAACATAGTTCACGAGGAGTTCATCATTCGTTGTAAAGCCCAATGGCATAGGCCACATTCCAGGAATAACAACAGTGTGCATCTTATTTAAACACTTCTCCTGGAGCACCCATATGCCTACGTGGAGCTCTGGCTCACTTCTATCGCATTGCAATAAGCAAACTGATTCCTTGTACGCCTGAATTTCTCCCTCAACGCTTCCAAGTCCCTCCACAATAGCCTCTGGCAGCAACACTTGTTCAAATACCTCACTGCCAGTATCAAACGACACGAGATGAAAGCTATCATCCTCTTCCTCTCCCATAATCCAGTATGCTATCCCATTAGAAACTGCATGTCCAGAATGCCAACCCATGGAATTTATCCGAGGAGGAATTACACCAATGCTCTTCCAAGAGTTTGTACTTAAACTGTAAACCTCCACTTCATTGCATTTCTTCCCCCAAATAAACGTTACCAACCTTACTACCTTGTAGTCGTTGAGCCTGGAGTTGAACCCAAATGTAAGAGCACAACGATACTTGTAATCGGGAGGGCAAGAAACGTTGGTGACTGGAAGGCGGACAAATTTCATGATTGATGGGTTACATATGGTTACAGGACAATTCAAATCCAGACTTCTACATGACAGACAAACTAAACCATTACTTGAACCATATAGCCCTAAACCTCCCATGCCCAAGCATGTTGCCTTAAATGTTTCATTAGAGAAAATGGAATGGCGAATTTTGGGTTTGACTTCAGTGCACTGGAGACCAACTAGAAAAGTAAGGCCATGGTTTTTAACATTCCGATTAAGATGTCTGCCTATAAAACTCGAGCTTTCAATCAAATTGCTCCATGACTTGCAAACACACATAAACCGAACAAGGGATTTTACTGGTAATCTTAGTAGGATGCCAATCAAGATTTCTTCAGGGATGTAAATGGAATTCTTGCAGTTTGTGGACGTCATCCTGAGGAAGGTATAATACAGACATAAGTTATAACAAAATTGGGAAATAAATCTAGACCTAGTGCTACATTCAATCATACAAGTAATTATAGTGTAGTACGGTAGTATGGTCATGTGGTATAATCCATATGTTATAATATAAGTGGATATTATTGATATCATTCCCTAAAAGGTGGAAACAAAAACTCTATCGTCCACATCCATATTATAACAAGTGTACAAGTTATATCACGTAGCTGTACTCCAGTACCATACAATAATTTCTCCAACCCTATACCCATGGTCCTTTGTTCAATTTCTACCCTAATATTGTTGCATGAAAAAAATTAATTAACCCAAAAGAAAAATCGACTCTCACTTTTAGTTTGTAATGGGAAGAACATGAAAAAAGAAAGAAAAGGAAAGTCGTTTGCATCAAGAGGAGATCCATGTTTGTCAAATATTAAAATGTAGGCCAGCTTATAAACAGTTCTTGAACTTTCAAACTCCCATACAAAAATTCCACTTTCAGGAGAGGAAAAAAGCAGACGTGTTTATGTCATAATGATTTTTTAACATAAAATCTTTGATTGAGACACTCTCTAAGCTAAGTGTCTAGTTAGTAAACATATGGAGCAAACAAAAATATAAGCAGTGGTATACTTGGAGCTGCAACTCCGTGAAAAGCAAAACTGAAGAAGAAACTCCACATCTACAGAAATACAACCTTAATTACCTGAGAAGCCTGACGACTGTGCAGTGGGACAGATGTGATGGAAGAAATTTTTATTTCTGTTTGATCAATCAACAGGTTATGAGATTTGAAGACAAGGGAAGGACGATATTAAATAATAAGAAGGCAATAATATATGCGGGAGGAGAGAGATAGAGGGCAGGGAGAAAAGAATAAAAAAGCCTGCCAAAAAATAAAACAAAAAGGAAAGTTCTAACTTCCAAGTCGAAAAAGGGAAAGGCCAATCTGAACCCACAAAATATTTCCAAAAAATTGTAAAGGGTCTGTAGCTAAGGTAGTTAAGAGCATTTATTTTGCATTCTAGGTCATAGGTTAATCTCTTACATGCTTTATAAGATGCTTTATAAGAAAAAAAAAAACACAATGCAATATAAAGATTATATTGGGCTGATAGTAATAACCCAATGTAAGTGTTCGACTTTAATAATAAATTTTGATTTCGGGAAAAAAGATAGTAATAACCCAAATGGGCTCTTTATTGATTTCCATTCAGTTAGGAAATTTATATTGTATTTCTAACATATAAACCTCTAATTGATGGATTACATATGCATATAGGGCGGTTCAAAATGCAATATTTCATCTGGCAGTCAAAGCAAACAATACTCCAACTGTACATCCCACAACGTTTTTGTTCCTAGAGAGTATCCCATATCGGGAATTGGTTCTCGATTGGATGCTCATATTTTGTTTACTAATCAGGAATTGGAAGTCTCATTAGGAATTTAATTCCACCTATGGAGGATTCTTGTGTTTACTTCACATCAAGGAATTAAAAAGTAAGTGGGCGCTCACACAAAATTAGGAATTGAATTCCTGATTTTGGAGGAATTCAATTCTTAGGTAGGAGGTGGTATTCTAATTCTC